AAGTCAAGGAAGAAGAAAGTCTTCTTTTTTGCCCCGTCCCCCTGTAGACGTTTTCCCCCTTTCAGAAGGAATCTGGTGCCAGCTCACAGTCTCCGGCGGTAGGAAACTTGGCTGGACGGAACAGATGCCGTCGGACCGCGCCCTTGGACTTTCCATTACATAATAACTGTACTATGTGAACTCACTGGATGTAGCTTGCTTTTGTTTAGCAGAGTGCTGTTCTTTGCTGACATTTGTTAACGAAGTCCCTGATCACCAGGACGTCCAGAAACCTTTCGTTGCACAAGGTAATGCGGTCCGCAGTCGCAGAGAATGTATGTACCACCTCCAAGGCCGAAACGGCTTGAAAAGAGTTCTCTAACACATAAGCGCTCTCCACCTTTATAATTTCGTTTCACCATTGCTAGATCGCTCAGTTATGTCTACCTTTCTCTACTCTGCCGCCACACCGTCACCTGTTCCTCTTTTCTGCGCTCACTGTCCCGCTGTGTTCTCTTAGATGAGAACCGACACTTTCCAACGGTTTTGTTCGCTTTTGTCTTCAGTCGTGAGTTACCTAGTACCACGCCCTTGTTTGAAACTCACCGCCCACGAGTGGAAGGTGCGGGCTCTGCCTCCAGGGTACAGCATCGATCCGTAAAATAACGGTGTTAGTACGACTCCCTCCCGAGGCAGGGTCTCGGTAAGATCCTCCCCCCCCCGCCCAAGAGAGGACGTTGGCGCGACCCCTTTCCCCAACACCTAGCCATCACTTTCCTACAAGTTCAGGAGCCAACTATTATTTTCAACTATCGGAAATATAGTTATATAGAGCTTTGGTTGCGCCACCAACTAGGGGGGTCTCTCCCAACATCCCAACAATGACCAAATACCACCCCTCTCCCCCTCCCTTCCCAGCGACCAGGTACGACCCCATTTGTTTCACCACAACACTGGTTACAGTCCTACTATTTCAGGTGACTCCAGTCGATATCGTGAATATTGCGAGATGGATTCATGTCCCTTATAAAATTGCCAAAACAATGATGCCAGCAGGATTTTCTGACAGATTCCGACTTCATGATAGTAACTTCTTGAAAGCTTTAACAGAGGATATCGATATAAACCATATTCCAACCACACTCGGTGGAAGCCATGAGGTAAAATAATTCACACGAACTAGGTTGCCTTCGCTTTCCGCTGAGGGAGAACCGGAGAAGAAAAGGTGGGCAAAAGTACATGTGACAGCCGAATCACGTCACGTCTCTCTCTGTCTGCGCCCTCTCATCGAGTAGAGAAATAGCGCATATGGTCATTCTAAGGTTTCCAGAAGACGTGGTAAGAAAGTACAGGCAACAGACATGTCGCGTAGCGACGCAGCATAGCCATGCACCCCGCCCCCATCCCTAACCAACCTCCCTATCAGGTTTTAGCTTCGAAGCGGAGAAAATCCTACACCAAGCGAGTACTGACTTTTCCATCTGTGCGAATATGTGGAGAGTCAGGTTGAGCTTCTCTGCCCGCGATTCTCCACATTGACCATTCGCATCCAAGCGCCCTACACGGTAGAATTCGATTACGAGTGCATGCATGAACGGTTCACACCCCCCCCCCCCCCACCCCCCCTCTAACAACTTCTCACCTCCTCCAGTACACGACCCCTCTCAAAGAAGGGTCTAAACCATCCCCCCACATCGAATCTTCCGTAATGTGGATCATCTCGTGAACCATCAGGAAGAGTGCCTCGCCGCCGAGCGGTTCAGGGACTGTGAGGCTGGGACTACGCAGCACGCGTAAAGGGTAAAATAGCCATCAAAAATTCTCTTCAAGATGCGGAATCTGACCCCTTTCCCCTGGCGAACAAATGTGATCTCCCTCATGGGTTTCGCACAACGCTGTCTGCACGATCCTTCAGTTCTCAAGTGGCGGAAGGTATGAAAGCGGTCCCACAAAGAATACTGTATCAGTTGTGGACTAGCATCTGAAGTACTATATGTTTAGGGCATTATCTGCGTTGGAGCAGAACGAGTACTTCCAAGTGAATACTGGACTCCTGAGAACTCCGATCTCATTCATCATCTAGAACACCTGCATATCCCTGCCAAGAAGACCCGCCATATAACAGTGGAGATTTGTGAACCGAAAATGTTGCGATGGTATTTTCGAACAGATGGCGACGTATATTTTGGAGTGTTTTATGAGGTAAACTTTGTAGTTTTAACACCACAGTGCACGTCAAAGTCGTATGGGCGGAACTGGACCTACATGCTAATGCGCCTTTGCGCTTACTCAGTGCGATACTTCTCCGGTAATAAGGAGCGGTGCGTCAATGTAGAAAGCGCTATTATCTGTCCAGCTCCGAATAGGGTCTTCAACCGGAAAATTGTGAGACTCCGCTTATGATCACTCGTAATTATTCTCTTATGACGTCAATTTTCTTACTATTATTATCATTATAATTGGTATTATTAGTTCCGATGGAAAAGGAAAGCTGGCTCAGAACGTTGCTCGGTCTTACACTGTTCCTTATCAAACTAACAAACCAACTGTCGCTTAGTGGACTCGTAAACTCATCTGAAATGCGTTCCACGATTAGCGTGAAGGCGGAACTCGTAATAAGTCATGGTCTCGTCTTTGGTGCGCTTTCGTTTGTGAACGGAGCTCCAACACGGAGGAAGGCCACATTGAAGGGAATCTCTTCACCTTACACGTTGAGCGTGCCGACCGCGTCTTCAAAACATATGTCAATCACTAATAATAGTCCCCTGCCCCCAACCTCCCTCTCCAGGTAAAAAAACTCCCGTCCGCCAATTTTCAAACTAGATTCCTTTTCCGAATCACTCACCCTGCAAGCTACGTCTACTGGCTCTTGAAATCACTCTTTAGTTAGTGATGCGATGATTTATGCCTAGTAAACCCATACTTTATGGGAATCGCTTTGGAGCGTATGTAACCAGTCGTGCACTTTTTTGGGTCCAGTAGCCTTGGAGAGGGCATTTGAAGGGCTTCCCGTACGAAGGTAGGATTCCTGCTTTGCAGATGAAGACTTCTGCCTGAGCCCGGGGAGGACCCTGAGGTCGATACTATTAGTTTGGATCACGTCAACTATATGAAAAAGGAAATTTCTCCATGGATGACGTTACTCAAACTTTTGCACGAGAAATCCTTTCTGTTTTCTTATTTAGCCAGCTTTCGCCATAAATGCTTTGATTGTCTTCGAGATTGTCAAATAAATAAATAAATAAATAAATAAACAATAAATAAATGAACTGAGTAGATAAATGAACCAATAAGTAAATAAATAAATGCCCTCCTTTGAAAAATACTTGCGTTTTTTTGAATAGTAATTTTTCAGAGCAAACTTGATGCGAAAAACGAGCATCATTTGGATATTGAGTACTGATGGAACATTCGTCCCATGTGTAACAACTAAGTGCTAAACTGGTACACGAGAATGACTCTGTGAATTGTCAGAAGAGCGGCAGGTACATAACTAGACTCGAGTTGAAATATTTAGTGACCAGAGGTCATTGCACCATCATTATTGGTGCCACTCCTCAAATCTCTTGAAAAAAGTTGTTTTAACGAAAGTCAGTCATGCTCCTTCAGGTACCATATTGTGTTCTGCAACCGACATTCATGGCTCTCACGACGAACGATTGATCACTACATTACTGTCACAGACATGGAAGGGAACTCTGAAAGAATTCATTCCGATGGCAGCTTCTCTCCAGCTATACAACTGTAGAAAGAGCTTCACTTCTTGTGCACCTCACTGCTATGTATAATATGTTTCTGTGAGCAGAAACTAAGCTTCTACAAGGGTGTCATGAAAGATTAGACTGTTGTGATGTTTAGTAATGGTTCCGACAGGTAGTGCTTGGATATTTTCCTAACAATGTTTATCAATTCTCAACTATATTCAGGTTTTATGTAGAGTCTTTCAAATTCGCATTCTATCTTGTACGAATAGATTTTATGAATGAATTAACTTAATGAGTTTTTGAATGAAGGAACAATTTTTTCCCTCTTGATTCCGAGTAAGGGGAAGGACACAGTCTTCTAGTTTATTCTCTATTTATAACGTCCCGATAAATCTGACTCGTGGGCTGACGAATGATAGAACTTGAAGCCATCTTGAAGACGAACGGCACGATAAATCCCAAGACATGCAGGATTGAAACGTGTAGCAGGACAGAATTTGGCACCCTTAGCGGCGTGGCACCTTTCCTACAAAAGGCGCTCCCTTACAGCGCCTTGTCAAGCTACACAATGCCGGACCGGTGCTCTGCTCGTATCGCTCCATTTTTGCAGTACAGTATGAAGCGAAGAATGAAGAGCTCGCGATGCTGCATGGATATATGAGTACATAGATGGAGCCGTATTTACCGTAGCGGTTCTTGGCACGATGAAATCGTGGACGTCGTCCGAAATTGCTTACTGAGTTGCGTAGAACAACAGCCTTTTTGTAGGCTTTTGATGGTTTCACTTCAGTTTTTCGCCATTTTCCCACTGTGTAGCAGACTGCAAGCCGAAACCGAGTACCAAATTATCGTACCATATCCCTTTCAAATATAGGTCTCATTGGCCTTAACCGAGCCCATCAGACACTGTCTCAGTGAGACGTAGGGTGTACAAGGCGCCATTCTGGGCCTATGGCGACATTTTATAATGCGAGAGTGGGTGAGGTGGCGGGTGAGGAGTCAAGTTTGCTGTGTGTCCTCGTAAATCATGCGTCTGAGCGTGGCAAAATGAGGTTGCATGTTCAATGGTCGCGTATGAACACGCAGTCACTGCAGACGCTGGGCAGTGTCGGCGAAGGGGGCTGGAGGGAAGGGAGCTGGGTCTTGAGCTGCGCCAGCTGCGCCACTATTCCACTGTTGCTTGCCCGCCCCAGTGTTAGAAATTGGGGTGTAACTATAAAGTTTCTGCGTGAAAAGGAAACAAAGCTACTTATGAGAGCATGAAGAGGCATCAAAGAATTTCATTGCAAACAACGCTGGAGATCCAGAAAAATTCGATATTCTTGAATTTGAAGGTTCTTGTTTCTTCATATTTCTTTTTTTCTTGTTTCTTCAAATTTCATTTTTCTCCAGAGCATTGGGGCCCTCTGCTATGACCGCGTTATCATTAAGAGCCCCTCTTTTGTGGCCTCGATTTAGCATTTAATTCTGACTGACTACGGGAACTACGCTTATAACAGAGAGTGCAATGTGGACATCCTAACAGGCAAGCAATCGACTGCTAAGCTGACGCTAGCCGAACGATCCAGGATTTAGTAGAAAGGACAATGCGATACATCTATGCTACAGAATTTCCTAGGAGACGAGGGGAAAGGCAACCAACGGCCACAGTAAACATGAACAATCACGAACCCACAGTCTCCTTACTGCGCGCTTATTGATAGGGAAAATGCTTCACCTCTGATTGCGAACCTGCCCTCCTGGTTCGCAGAAAAGATCCATTTTTCAGGTGATTGTACCGTTTCTCTTCAAAAATCCTGTGCAATGAGAGACAGACTAGTTGTCTTTCAAAAGATGAAACCGTTCCAGTCCAGTCCCATTAACACGTTGACGATGAGCCATTTTCCCCATGACTTGCGCCTGGGACGGCATATTTTTCTACACTGAAACTTAGTAATTTCCAAACAAATGAATTACTACGACCAAAATATATACTCATAGCAAACTGCAAGAGACGAGCCATATTATGAAGCAATCTCGACTCTGTGAGCACAATTTTACTCTTCATGTGCTTCCATCTCCAAAATCAGGCCAATTCTCTTATCGAATTCCTACCCTCCAACATATGAATCTGACTAATCGAAAATTTGTCTCCCGGCGACCGTGGTTTTATCCTAAAGAACAATATCGCATCCCTCGACCCGAAAATGTTTGTTTTTGAACTGATTTCATGAAAAGAAACTGAAACAATCGCGCAGATCTTGAGTTATATAATAAATGTAGGACAGCATTGTTCGACGCCGTTCCACAAGACAAACCTCCTGTCGTCACACATTGACGAAAATCGTCGTCAACGCGTTAACTGGACGTAAAATTTTTTAAAATTTTTGTTGAGGGGGTCGGTTCACCGGTAGGGACAAGTTTTCAGGGAATTTGATGATCTATAGGACATTTTGGCGCGGGCGCCAGGCAGTTTTGTGGCAAGCGATTGTGATATTTGTGTTCAGGGGTCAAGCTAACCCACGGCCACCGGGGACATTTGCGGGAAACGAATGCGATATTCGTGTTCAGGCATTCAAGCTACCCCACGAAACAAGTTTTCAGCGCTTTTGGTGACCAAAGGTATTTGGGCGCCTGTGTGGCGCGGGGGCCGGGCAGTCCGGGCCAAACCACTGTGCTGTTCGTTTCAGAATTTCAGCCTACTCCTATAGACATCTTTTGAACAAATTTGGTTGCTCGCACGTCTTTATTATTAGAGCAGTATGCTGTCGGACAGCATTGTCCGACACCGTCCCATGAGACAGACTGGCTGTCGCCCACCATTGTCCGACACCGTCGTCAACGTGTTAAACAGGGAGGGTAAGTTCACAGTTTATAAGGATTATTAGAAACCGTATGAATGGGATTTCAGTGTGCCAACTCGACCGCCGCACTTTTATGCGCCCTGTTTACGATTTTTGTAAGGAAAATAACGCTGCGATCGGAACTCAAAAATCAGTTGGAGAAGTTGTTTTTCACACTGCATCAGCAGTTCTTGAGTAGATAAGAAAGCCATTTTCTGATGATCGGAAAGGTACTGTCTTATCTCATGGGAACGCCCAGTCATTTGACGAAAGTTCACTAACTCAAAACAAATTGTAAGAGTTACAATGTTCTATCAATACAATGTTCTATAGTAATGTTCTTCATCACGTGCAGTACACTTCGTAGATATTTTTACTACGAATTTGTCTCTAGGGCACAACATTGTAACGAGGAAAATTGGCCGCACAGGCAAATAAGATTTGCAGTCCGATAGACTGCTACCGCAACCGATACACTTGCAAAAATTGCCTAAGCTTCAGATTCTTCTAGATAGCAATGTGAAAACGGCCCTACAACTAGCCGTCTGATGCGACTTTCGCCATAGTAGTTTATACCCTTGATGAGAAGGTTGTTCGTCCTTCATTGTTCTCCCATCACATATCCGTGTGCGCAGCTAAGGAGCGGGGACGATCCAACAACGGGGAAGGAAGCTGATGTACAGGGGGCCCAATAAAAAAATGACACTTTGGCCGACTCACATATAAGCAAAGTTTTTGCAGCCCAGTCAGAGGAACGGATACGAGTACCAGAGCGGAAGATACCCAAGATGTTCCTCGATAAGCAGGAGCAGGCTCTCGTCCATCACCTTCATGTACACCAAAATATGAAGTCATCTCCAATCGCAACCTGACTGGAGAAGACCTATGGAATTCACGACAGCTGCAAAACTTCTTGTATGGAGTCACCCATTAACAGCTACCTGGTGACCAGCACTCTTGATCTGGAAGACCTCCAACATCGAGTTGCTACGGGCCAGGATATCATTTTCACCGCAGTCGCTAAGGCGCGGACTGATGGTATGGACCAGGAAGTTCCTGGAATGGTAAGACCGATATTTTCTTCGTGGACCCCTCATGTCCTGCCCTCATGTCGTCGCCTGTACCATCTTGAAACTTCGTACTGCTACAGGGTCGGGTGCCAGCAAATGGAATGGAAGGGCGCTGGAAAAACTCTCGTCTATTTGGAGTCGAAGGGCTGAAGAAGACGGAATACCCAAGTAGGCACCCTGCCCTGACTGTCTCCGGCGATATCAACTGTACCTCGGTCGAGCGGTTAATAGGCATCCCACTCAACACGGTGTAGAACTAAGTCCACAATACCCTTGGAAAGCAATTCTTATTTTTGGTGTTATTTGTTTCTACCATTCCAATTCTCAAAAATCACATATTTCAGTTGTACTTCCTGTTTACGCGGCAGTTTCGAGATCTGCGTGTAAGTTTTCGACATTCAGCGCCATCACGGTCCGGATCGTTGCCTGTCAATGTGACTCGTGGTTCGACCAGCAAGTTCGTTGCTATCCTGCCGTTTTGCTTCAGTAGTTGGAGTTACACGGCTTCTTACCTTGCACACACATAACACCATCCTAACAACTTACCCGAACTTCCTCACCTTGAACGCTTCTGTTCACTCAGGCAGCGTTCAGATTTCGCGACGACGCGTGTCGACGCGCTGTGGCGCGCTGTAACGCGCGTCGATGTTCTTCCATTGCAACAACGTTCCAGTGCTATAGACAGGAATGCAACCGCAGGCGACATCGATCGATCGTCGCTGGACGATTGTGTTTCAGAGAGTGAAGAAGAACAGGAGGATACCAAACTGTGAATTTGCACCCACCCTCCTGTTGTCATATGCTCTC